TCTCTCTCATCACAGAGAAAACACCCATGAAGCAGTATTATTTACCCATTTCTCTCTCATCACAGAGAAAACACCCATGAAGCAGTATTATATACCCATTTCTCTCTCATCACAGAGAAAACACCCATGAAGCAGTATTAGTTACCCATTTCTCTCTCATCACAGAGAAAACACCCATGAAGCAGTATTAGTTACCCATTTCTCTCTCATCACAGAGAAAACACCCATGAAGAAGCACTTTTTACTCATTTCTCTATGCTACATTTTTGTTAATTAGGCTGAATGGTTAATTCATTTCATGTTGTTTCTTAGTATCTGTATATAAATTTCACATTTTTGATTTCCCAAGACACAGAATTTGAAACTTTGTTTTTATAGTGATGCAAGTTTCAGTTTAGTGATAGGGATTATACAGAATCTAACTTACTCCTTCTTTAGCAGCTGATAATTGGTGTTCTGCTGCAGCCTTCTTTGCACTATAATGTCTGAGTTCAAGTTCATGAGTTAGCTGAAGCCAATGTTGAAGAGCCAGAGGAGGAGCCAAAGACCTCGACTCTATTGCTTTCTCTGCTTCTCTGAGTTCCTCCCGTGTGTGTTCCAGCTCTTCTTCTAACTGATGCAACCTGTCCACGTCCTCATTATCAATATCCTCTTCTTGTTTCTACCAGAAGTTTAACAATTATCTTCTGTTGTCAAACTATTAATGAACTAACAAATGATTTTGAATACTGTAGATGAAACTCCCAATACACACACACACACACAAATATAATAAACATGTGATAGAGCTAAAATATTAAAAAAAAACATACAGCTATGCACCTTACAGCACCCATGACATAGAAAACAGTTCACCTTAGTATGCACATTAAAATAATACTCAATTTTTTAAAGTCCTAACTCTCCTGTAGATCCAGGGTAAAATGTTGTTTTCAAATACTGACTTTTACTGAATTAGGCTTTACAAGTTTATTTAAAAGATTCAGATATCTTCGCTCCTTAAGTTATTTCACCAATGAAGGTTGCTCAGGTGGGAGAAGTATGTCTGTAAATTAAAACGTTTCCTGCCTTGTTTTATCAATAAAGATTTAATTGCTGAAGGTGTAAATCAATACAGTTACAAACTAGACATAACTTGTTTTTACAGCATCACTAAACTTAAGGCTGTAAAACTTTTAGACTTAATTAAGATTCTACATCTACTACCATTTCATTTAATCATGTTGGGATTTCTTAAACTATTAGTTGCTGGCCTCAGTGTTGATTTCAACTTCACTCATTGATAAACGTTCACAGGATTCTTACCCTAGGTGCACCGATCTCATCCTTAAGCATTCTCTCAAGATTTTCTTTTTCAATAGCTACAATTTCTTGTTCCTGACGAGCTTTATCTAGCCTGGTAAGAAAAGAAATGTGAGTTCTTAATCCTCTTCTCAACAAGAACCGTAAAATAAGTATTTTTCCTAAAAGGATTTCATTATCATTCACATGTACACAAAGTATAAAAACCTTGAATTATTTTATTCAAGTACCCTTACTATACAGTCTTTGAAATGTCAATAACCAGCTATATATTCTCATGTTAGAACACCACCTGAAGATACATTCTGTTCAATAAAGAACTGTGGTGAAGCAATGCTCTTTCTGTGTTTTCTTTTGTCATTCTTCCTTGACATAAACTTCAAGAAAATGATTCTTTGCTCAGAAGCTCACATTAGGTAAGAAACCCTAACTCTTGGCTAGCTGTTTGGTCATACTTTCATCCACTAGCACTAGAAGTACGTTAGCTGTTCCTGATTGGGTCATACTTTCGTCCACTTGCACTAGAAGTACATTAGCTGTTCCTAAATGGGTCATACTTTCACCTACTTGCACCATAAGTACGTTAGCTGTTCCTAAATGGGTCATACTTTCACCTACTTGCACTATAAGTACGTTAGCTGTTCCTAAGTGGGTCATACTTTCGTCCACTTGCACTAGATGTACGTTAGCTGTTCCTAAGTGGGTCATACTTTCATCCACTTGCACTAGAAGTACATTAACTGTTCCTAAGTGGGTCATACTTTCGTCCACTAGCACTAGATGTACGTTAGCTGTTCCTGATTGGGTCATACTTTCGTCCACTTGCACTAGAAGTACATTAGCTGTTCCTAAATGGGTCATACTTTCGTCCACTAGCACTAGATGTACGTTAGCTGTTCCTGATTGGGTCATACTTTCGTCCACTTGCACTATAAGTACGTTAGCTGTTCCTGATTGGGTCATACTTTCGTCCACTTGCACTAGAAGTACATTAGCTGTTCCTAAATGGGTCATACTTTCGTCCACTAGCACTAGATGTACGTTAGCTGTTCCTGATTGGGTCATACTTTCGTCCACTTGCACTAGAAGTACATTAGCTGTTCCTGATTGGGTCATACTTTCGTACTTGCACTATAAGTACGTTAGCTGTTCCTGATTGGGTCATACTTTCACCTACTTGCACTATAAGTACGTTAGCTGTTCCTAAGTGGGTCATACTTTCGTCCACTAGCACTAGATGTACGTTAGCTGTTCCTGATTGGGTCATACTTTCGGTACTTCTAGTGCAAGTGGAATTAGCTGTTCCTAAATGGGTCATACTTTCGTCCACTTGCACTAGAAGTACGTTAGCTGTTCCTAAGTGGGTCATACTTTCGTCCACTTGCACTAGAAGTACATTAGCTGTTCCTAAATGGGTCATACTTTCATCCACTTGCACTAGAAGTACATTAGCTGTTCCTAAATGGGTCATACTTTCATCCACTTGCACTAGAAGTACATTAGCTGTTCCTAAGTGGGTCATACTTTTGTCCACTTCCATTATAAGTACATTAGCTATTCCTAAGTGGGTCATACTTTCATCCACTTGCACTAGAAGTACATTAGCTGTTCCTAAGTGGGTCATACTTTTGTCCACTTCCATTATAAGTACATTAGCTGTTCCTAAGTGGGTCATACTTTCGTCCACTTGCTAGAAGTACATTAGCTGTTCCTAAGTGGGTCATACTTTTGTTCACTTCCATTAAAAGTCTACAGAGATGTTTTTACAAGCTTTAGTGACCATCACTTACTAAATTTACATTAACAGAGTATGCCAAATCCTTCTACAAAAAAGACAATAACATATATAACTCACTGAAGTTTTCTTTAGAGATTAACTCATAATAATTCCCATAAGCTTAACTGCCAAAACGATACAGTCTTATCATGAAGATAATGTTACAAATGTTCATCATGGATGAACATTAAAAGTTTGGTGTGACTGTTACATCATACAGAGCTTTAGACTTTCATCAATTTCAACTCACTCTTTTTGCAGTTTCAAAAGAGCTTCCTCAGCATTCTGAAGACTCTCCATGTCTTTCATCATCTTCTGAAGATGTGTTTTGGAGTACTTTTGCTGAACATAGGCAAACCAATAGCCAACAATGGCAACCACTAGTGACAACACCAGGAAACTGTCTTTTATGTAGTTGTGGTCTACAAGTAGATTCAGAATGGAAGGTAGTTAGTATTACATGTAAAACAGTTTTTGATTATATACACAGTTCCATAATGTAATATATATATTACCTGACTTTTTTATACACAAACCCATTAACACCTAATAGTCATTGCTAAATATGCAAAGCACATAAAACTGTACACTATTAAATTTGTTGAGAGGTTTTCAGTCTGTATCAGTACAATTGTCAGCATTATGGGTGGCCTTTTTCTAGTAGAGTACAGCTGTCAGTGCTATCAGTGGCATTATTCTACTGGAGGGCTGCTGTCAGTAGTATGGATGGTCTTATTCTACTAGAGGATCATTGTCAGTACTGCGGGTAGCCTTATTCTACTGGAGGGTTGTTGTCAGTACTGTGAGTGGCCTTATTCTACTGGAGGGTCATTGTAAGCACTGTGGGTTGTTGTATTCTACTGGAGAGCCATGGTCAGTACTGTGAGTGGCCTTATTCTACTGGAGAGCCATTGTCAGTACTGTGGGTGGCCTTATTCTACTGGAGAGCCATTGTCAGTACTGTGGGTAGACTTATTCTACTGGAGGGTCATTGTCAGTACTGTGGGTGGCCTTATTCTACTGGAGGTCATTTTCAGTAAAATGGGCATTTATTCTATTGGAGAGCCATTGTCAGTTAGTATGGGCATTTATTCTATTGGAGAGCCATTGTCAGTTAGTATGGGCATTTATTCTATTGGAGAGCCACTGTCAGTTAGTATGGGCATTTATTCTATTGGAGAGCCATTGTCAGTTAGTATGGGTGATTATTCTATTGGAGAGCCATTGTCAGTTAGTATGGGCATTTATTCTACTGGAGGGCCATTGTCAGTTAGTATGGGTGCTTATTCTATTGGAGAGCCATTGTCAGTTAGTATGGGTGCTTATTCTATTGGAGAGCCATTGTCAGTTAGTATGGGTGCTTATTCTATTGGAGAGCCATTGTCAGTTAGTATGGGTGCTTATTCTATTGAAGAGCCATTGTCAGTTAGTATGGGTGCTTATTCTATTGAAGAGTTCTTGACAGTATACGAGCGATATTATTATACTGTGTGGCCTGTACTATGAGACAGATATAATGAGAATTGCTAAAATTTACTTAGATTTGGAGAACATTAATGATATTCCAAGTTACATTATTCAACAGTGGGTGGAATGTCTTCATACAATGGATGAACTTAAGCCTGTTAGAAGTGAAGACATAAAAACTGGTAGTCAAGAGATTAAATGTACAGGGGTTAAAGGGTAGAATGTTTTTAACTATTATAGGCCACATTGATTAGGACTAAACAGGCCACATTGATTAGGACTAAACAGGCCACATTGATTAGGACTAAATAGGCCACATTGATTAGGACTAAACAGGCCACATTGATTAGGACTAAACAGGCCACATTGATTAGGACTAAACAGGCCACATTGATTAGGACTAAATAGGCCATGTTTTTAACTATTATAGGCCAGTTATTAAAATGACAGTTATGATAGATTATTCACAGAACCATAAATTAAAATGACAGTTATGATAGATTATTCACAGAACCATAAATTAAAATGACAGTTTATGATAGATTATTCCACAGAACCATAAATTAAAATGACAGTTATGATAGATTATTCACAGAACCATAAATTAAAATGACAGTTTTATGATAGATTATTCACAGAACCATAAATTAAAATGACAGTTTTATGATAGATTATTCACAGAACCATAAATTAAAATGACAGTTTTATGATATATTGGTCACAGAACCATAAATTCAAATGAACTTTTAAAAAGTAAAGTTTGGTAAAGACAGGATTGGTTCCAGTTGAGCCAGTTTTAGTTTGGTAAAGACAGGTTTGGTTCCAGTTGAGTCAGTTTTAGTTGCCATTGGTATTAGTGGAGGCTGGCACTTTAAGAGGGAAATATGAAGGGTGGATTTAAATGTTTATTTTTCTCAAGCGCAGGAGAGCAAGGACAGTTTTGAAGGACAAAAATAGTCCTTTGTTGTACATATGTTATAAAAATCACATCCCAGTATCAGTATCATCCTTGTAGGTTGTAAGAAAAGTTGAGATGTGTCAAACCCTAACTTTAAGACAACCTAGAATAACAGAACTTGGCACGATTGTGGTAGGAACAAAAAATATTAATATTTAACAGTAACACAACAAAACAGGGGGACAGAAACACTTACATCTTTGGGGTCCAAAGAGGACCACATCCATTGCTTTTAGAGCTAACTTTTGTCGGTTAATAGCATCTTTTATACCCAACACAGACATCATAAAGTTTACATCATTTGCTGCCATCCTAAAATATATAAGAAGGTTATATATATCAAATTCTATTAAATACAATTACTGAGAAGTAAATGATACACAGAATGAAATATATTATACCTTATAAATCTAAAAAACCAAAAAACAGTGACTTATAAAGCTGTAATCGAGAGAGAGAGACTGTGGTCCGAGTCTTCACACGGATCCTATTGGTCTTTAATGGTAAAGCATTACCATACCCAACCACAATATTAATGATCATGCTTCAGGTATTTTTAATCAAGTTACTGTAATGACCACTGAGAACAGAAACACAACACCCAGTGTCTAAAACTAAATGTTAACGATCATGCTTCAGTATTTCTAATCAAGTTACTGTAATGACCACTGAGAACAGAAACACAACACCCAGTGTCTAAAACTAAATGAAACATATAAGATGTATAGTTAAAAAAGAATTAAATAGAATGTTCAGTATGATCTTGATCTTTACAGTATATGATTTTATTATATGTTGTTCTTACTCACTTTACAAGTACAGTATATGATCTTATTATATGTTGTTCTTACTCACTTTACAAGTACAGTATATGATTTTATTATATGTTGTTCACACTAAAGATGTGATAACTTGTTCTTACTCGCTTTACAAGTACTGTATATGATTTTATTATATGTTGTTCATAGTGAAGACGTGATAACTTGTTCTTACTCACTTTACAAGTACTGTATATGATTTTATTATATG